AGCCTCCTTAAGCAGCCACAGGTCACCACCCTGATTCTGTCCCTCCCCCTCATCCCCACTTCCTTCCTCTTTCCTTTCTCCATCTCACTCTGTAGCCCAGACTGTCTTCACCTGCACGTCACTCAGTCTTCTGAGTGCTGGGATTGTAATTGCCAGTTACCGTGCTAGCTTCTCTCCTCTCTCTCTCTCTCTCTCTCTCTCTCTCTCTCTCTCTCTCTCCTTTAGATTTTGCTTTTTCTAGTTGAGATATTTCAAGCACACGAATAACTCCTTTCCAAACATGTTGCAGAAACATCACTGAACAAACAAACTACTGGGAAACACAGCTTAGAAACAAACAACAGCTGCTACCATTTATGGCCTGTCTACCCCCTCCCCTTTCTTCATTTCTTTCTAATCTTGTTTGTAATGAAACCTGCTGTTCTAAATGGCTTAGGAATTAGCAAACTAAAATTTCCTCTTAAGGGCTCCCAGGTGGCCTCAACAGTGCCTTATTCTGGGTGGTGGCTCACTCAGCACTGGTGTCCCTAACAGTCTCCCCACCTTGGTTCTGTACTTCTGTGGACCAGCTGGGCATGACTGGAATTTTTGGCATTATCTGTTGTTTGTTTGATTCCCTTTTTAGATTCTGTAAGAGTAGTTAATGCTTATTCCAGATTTTCTCAATGACCAGAAGATCCCCGTTTCTTATTTTGTTGGTTATGTATATGGAATGTGTGTATGTTTGCATGTGTGTGTGGGCACATACACTTATGTGCATACGTGTGTGGAAGTCAGAAGTTGACATTGACTATCTTTACAATTATTCTTGTTAAAATTCCTTCCCTGGGGCCTATTTTTAAAAAAAAAAAAAAAAAAAAAAAAAAGTCTACCCTTCCTCCTAAGATCCCAAGGTTGGACCAAGCCATGATTCTGTGCAAAGTTCACTGGGAAACTAATGAATTTATTGTGTTTCCTTACTGAACGGAGGTGAGGGGTTAATTACAGGGGTGTGGTCACTCCTCTGTAAACAGGCTGCACCTGGAGAGCCTTACCCAACAGGGATGCAGGCTTTCCCACAAGTCACACACATGGAGTCAGTGTTCTGTGTTTCCCGGCCTCTCTATATACTCTAGCTCTTCCCCCAGACCACCTGCATCCTGGCAGGGGGTATGGAGCAGGGATTTCAGACTAGAATTTTGTGCCCTAATCTGAGCATTTATTCAGGGTGGTGGTTGTAAACTGTTGGCCAGCCTAGCTGGGATTATCCTTTGCAGTTCCACAGTTTGACTCCCCAACATGGCAGTTGCGTGGCTCATAGGGCAGTCACTTGCCACCTTATGTGAAGCAGAGCTCACCACTTCAACTAGTGAAGCTAACCAGCTTTCTCCAGGGATTTCCACTCTGCCTCCCTGGTGTTAGGATTACAGGATGGTCACAGCACCAGCCTAGCATTTTCCATGGGTACTGGAGATCCAACTCTGGTCCTCACTATTGCATAGCAAGCCCTTTAACTGCTCACCATCTCCCTAGCTTGCCAGGTGGAGTCTTTGAAAGACCCTTAACCATAGGCTTGAGGGGAGAGCTTTGGTTTAGTATAGACTAATTTTCAAGAATTCTAACTTATTTGCCACCTTCCTCAGGAATATCAGAGTGGTGCTCAGAGGCACTCCTTCTTCCACTTCAGTAACACGGTGGTGTCCCATACAGGATAAAAGTGGTTATGTAGATTAGGGACATGGCTCCTCAGTTCACAAAATACTTTGTCAGGTCAAAAAGTGGCTATCTGTGGTGCCTATTAGCATAGCTACCAAATCATATACTGGCCTCGGGGGTTTTCTCAGTATTACGGCTACCCATGGCTCTCCTCATCTCTTCTCACCCCGCCCCTACCCTGAACTTCTCTAGTTTATGGGCCTCCCTTCACCCAGTTTCTTATTCCTATATACCCTGCCATTTTGGCCATGCACCCTCTTAGATTTCTTTTCTCTTCCTCTCTTGGTGCTCTCTCTCCTGCCCCTCTCTTGCCCTCCACCCCCATGACCAAGTCCATTCTGCTGGCCATATTTACTCTACTATTTTCTCTCCATGCTCTGGACTCCTCCTGATGCCCCTGGCTGTACTCCCTCATATCTACAATAAAATCTTTCCCTTCAGCCACACCCTGGAGCTGTCGCTCTCAGTTTCTACTCTTTCCTAGCACAGCCAGAGTCCTGGTCTCTAACCGAGTAACCACATAAACTGGTTATGGTGGTATAGACCTGTGATCTCAGCACTTGCAGGATCAGGGTTAAAGGTCTTCCTTTACAGTGATACCTAGTGAGTTAGAGGCCAGCCTTCACTATAAGATCTTGTCAAAAGTGATCACTATTAGGTATTGATAGGTTGTCAACTTTCCATGGGGTCACGGCAGGGTAAAAGTCACCTACACTTTGCAGGCTCAGACACTAGACTATGCCTCCAAGACTTCCTAAGGTCAAGTCTAAGCTACATTTGGTCTGAATCTAAGGCTCGGGCTGGTCCCCTCCTCCCTGACACCCACCTGCTGGAAGATGCACCAGGTGCTCTTCTGTGTGGCCAATGTGGCTTCACTCTCAGGTGTTTTTTTGTTTTGTTTTGTTTTGTTTTTCACCTCTCAATTTTTTTTTAGTTAAATTAAGTGACTAACACTTAAAAATTACATCACACCTTAAAGAAAATGTCTGTGTTTTCTTGAGAAATCATTAGACGTGGCTGTTTTGTGCTCTTATGCTGACAGGGCAGTAATTAGTTGTGCTAAGTATCTCTTTCTCCCTTCCCTCCCTGTCCCTGCCTAGCTGAGAAATGACTTCTTCAGCTGGGCCGCTTTACTTGCCTAGCCTCTATGGATGGTTATACAAGGGACTCTTCATTTATTTTTAAAACTTTACATTTTAAAAATTATGTTTATGTTTTTAGCGTGTGTGTGTGTGTGTGTGTGTGTGTGTGTGTGTGTGTGTGTGTGTGTGTGTGTGTTCAGAAGACAGCTTGCTGGAGGTTGGCTCTTTTCTTCTACCAACTGGTTCCTGGGGGTCCTCATGGCCCCTAGGCTTTCTGGCCTTTATCACCTGAGACATTTTTCTGATCTCTGTTTATTTCTTCTAAGAAGCAATTTCTTTGGGTTAGAAGTCATGGTGGTAAAAGCCAACTTTTGCCTCAGATTTAAATTTTATGAACTTTTGTGGATTTTTATGAATCATTTTCGTTTCCTCTTCTTGGGATTGTAGCTCAGCAGTTGCAGCATTGGCTGGCACTTTGAGGGATGATAGGAACCTGTTTGCCGCCATAAACTTCCATAACCCTTCTCTTACATTGAACCAAATCCCACATTTACCCTGTGAATACTGTAAAAGCATGTGTTACAGGGGCAGCATTACAGAGATGAGAGATGAACTCAATAAAAAGCATTCAGGTGGGTGGCTTTCTAGATCCCCATTTCTTTCTTGGAGACTGTTGAATCCCATAAGGAAGATTGCTCACACTGGAGGAACACGTTGTATCAGGTTGCTGTGATAAACACTACGACCACAAGCAACTCAGGGAGGAAAGGGTTTGTTTGGCTTACATGCCCTAATCACTGTCCACCATTGAGAGAAATCAGGGCAGGAGCTCAGGCAAGAGCAGAGACGTGGGGAAAAGAGCAGGAACAATGGAGAAACGTTGCTTTCTGTCTTGCTCTCCGTTGCTCGCTCAGCCTGCTATTTTCCCAGCCCAGAACCACCAGTCCAGGGGGTGGGGGTGGGGGGCTTATCAATGGGCTGGGCCCTCCTGTGTCAATCATGAGTCAAGAAAATACCCCACAGACTTGTCTACTATCTGATGGAGTCATTTTCTCAACTGAAGTTTCTTCCCAGATCACTCTTGCTTAAGTCCTTATAGAACAAATAAATAAACTAGCCAGCATACCTTGTTTCCTTCCCAGCATCCACCTAGTAAGTAGCTCAGACATTTAAAGAGAAATAGTCTGAAAAAAACAGAACTTCCTCTAGGTGATCTGTACCTTTCATGTTACCTTAACATTGCTGCAAGAGCACCTTGATTCCCTAGTGAGAAAAATGTTAATTCTTATTTATTGCATGTATGTGGGTATGCACACAGATGCAGATATACGTTGTGGCATGCATGGATATATGTGCACATGTGGAGGCCAGAGGTTGATGCCAAGTATCTCCCTCAGTCCCTCTCCACTTTATGTTTTCCTTTTCTCACTGATTTGCTAGACTGGCTGGGCAGCAAGTCCTCGGAACCCTCCTGTCTCCATCTCTCAGTGCTGGGATTTGAGACATGTTCTGCCACACCCAGCTCTTAAAACTGGGTCCTGAGGATGGAACTCGGGTCCTTTTGCATGCATAGTGTAGTGAGTCTTTCTCTGTCTCACCATCCAGTTCCCAAATAGCCACATGGAAACTTATTATTAATTATTAAAGGTTGCCTGATAGCTTAGGCTTGTTTCTAACTCACTCATAACTTAAATTAATCCATTTCTATTAATCAATGTGCTGCCCCAAGGTTCATTTACCTATCTACATACTATCTATCCTGCTTTCTTTCTTCCTCCTGTCTCCCCACTTCTTCTTCCCAGTGTGTTCTGTGCCTGGAAATCCTAGCTATTGGCCGGTCAGCTTTTTATTAAACCAATCAGAGTGACACTTTTTCATGGTATACAAAAATATTATTCCACAACAGCATGGCAAGGACACTATGGACTGAGTCATGTCCCTAGCCACCCTTTTTGTTTGTTTGTTTTGATGGAAAACAATGTCCTTTGTCTGATTTAAATTCATCATAAAAGTGTGAAATAAAAACAAGTGAATTTGACTAATTTCATATCTGTGATTTAATTAATTTTTTTTAAAAAAATTGATACTATTCAGTAGTTACATACAGAAGATGCCCTCCATCCAATTCAAGTGATTTAATTGATTATTTTGAGTAAATATTTGCTTTTGATGATGACAGGGCCTGGGATGGTTTTTAAAGTTTGATTGTTTGTTTTTCTTCAGGACCCTGCAGGGATCTTTGAGTTGGTGGAACTTGTCGGAAATGGGACGTATGGTCAAGTGTATAAGGTAAGAATGTTAAACTTGAGTATAGCTTGTATGTGGCATTGATTTCTAGTGCCAAATAGCAATGCTGTCCATACTTGTTCCTAAATGCCTCATCACAACAGGCATCAAGTGAAATTATACACCAGTCAATTCACTTCTCTCCATCCTTTTGGATGTAGCTGTGGTTGTACTGACTACATGGGGTTCTGTGGCTTGAGTGTTCCCCAGTGGTGTATAACACAGTTTTTGTATCAGAAGCAAGCATCAGATGGTGCCTACCGAAACTAAGTGGTTAGATTCCTTCATTTTGAGCACTGCCAAGCTGCTTTCCAAGGCAGCAAAGGACACCATTCACTGTTGAAATCCAAGCTATTAGACTATTAGACTGCAGCTTCAAAAGTGAATTTGTTACTTGCCCAGGGCGCAAGTTCAATGAGCTCCCTCACAGTGTTAGGAGAAAGCTCACTGGCTCACAAGTAGAGACCTAGGACCACAATGAACTCCACAAGTTAGGAAGTAGTGAAATGGCTACCTTGAATTGGGATTGGAATTCCTGCTCTTTTATTAATTTTCCCTACAAATCCATCCAAAAATATTTAAAAGAAGTCTTTTCCCTTAATAAATTATCCATTTTTTTTGGAAAAAAAGAAGATATAAGCTGATTCCTCTTTTGATGATTGAAAAGAAAAATAGATGAACTGTTTTAGGAATAGAATTTGGGGCTTTCTGTAAACGAGCTGTTAAGAATCCTTCAAAAACAAGTCGATGTGTCCTCTAGATTATTTCCATGGAGCAGCCATCATTATTCTAAGTTGTGGCAGTATGGGATGGAATTTCAGGTACAAATTATCTCCCATTTTAGAAGTCCTGCTTTTAAAAATTCCTACTTTGCTCTAAACTTCTCTCAGTTGATTCAATGTGTTGTAGAAGTCATACAGATTGTAATAGTCTCAGTTCTGCAGAATGGTGAAAGTGCAGGTGTGCTTAAGGTATTGTGAGAATCTGGCTTTCAAAGCACTAATGTGAGTAGCTACGCACGGATACTTTTATTGACTAGGAAGCACTTTTTGGTGCCCACAGGGTGAGATATATTTTCTCCCTTTCAAGAAACAACCAATTCCTAAAGTGTTAAGACTTTACAAGAAGACAGAATGGAGACTCTGTTCACTTGATGTTGATCCTGCCTGACACAGAAAGAGATGTCTCTCAGAAAGTGCTTTTAAATACCTGCAATGAAGATAATTAGGTTGGATGATTGTGTTATTGCAGCTTGAAAAATTGGATTGAACTTGCGATGCAATGTGGCTAATGAAGTAAACTCTATTCTAGGCAGAAAATGATTTCTGACTTGTTCTCACTGTGGAGCAACAGTGGTGTGCTGTTAGTTTCAGGATAGCGCTGGAGGATGGTTCCCACTGTAGACATTTAGACATCCCATTGTAGACATGTTGAGTAGACATTTAGGACACACTTAACAGCTTCATCTACTAACCAAATAGGTAGAACACAAAGGATAAAGGTATGTGGTACTGTCATCCTGTCAGGTCCAGGATTGTCTAGAAGACAAACGTCTGGGTATGTCTGTGAGGGAGCTTCAAGATTCAGGAAATTGAGGTGGGAAGCCTATCTTAAATTTGGTAGCGCTGCCCTGTTTGTTGTGGTTCTAGATGGAATAAAAAGGAGAAAGTAGGCTGAGCACCAGCATCCATCACTCTCTACTTCTGCCTGGGATTCAGTGTGACCAGCCGCCTCATACTCCTATAGCATCCTTCTTCACCTGATGGACTGTAGTAACCAAACTGAGGGTCAAAAGAAATCCTTCCTTCCTTAAGTTGCCTCTCCCCCAAGATATTTCATCACAATAGTGATAAAATAATGAATGCAACATTCAATTATAAATGAGAAGTTTTGGAAAATTCAGAATTATCTCTAATTTCATGACATTGCATGAAAAACAAAAACAAAACAAAAACTAAAAGCTTAGCCAGCATCAAAGAGTCTCACAGTTTCTAAGAGTGGCACAGTCTCCAGCAAGTAGGTAGTTGACGACGTGATCCTAAAGGGTTCCATTTCTTTTTAAGATTACAATACTTGCTACTTTTCATCAAAGTGAAGATTGCAGAGAGGTCACGGTTAGGACAAGTGACCTGAGGACAGGAGATGGATATGGTCTCTTTCACAGTGCTATTTGCTGTTTTGTAGCTGTCACAGGTTTTCATACTTGAGTCCAGTGAGAATGTAGTTCGAGAAGCTGTGGGGACTTGAGTTGCCTTATCTAAAGAATTGTAACTTCATGTTTAGTTCTGGGTTTAGTTTCTAGACCACTGGGTTGTGTTAGGTCACCACTAACACATGACCAGAAATGGTCCTGTTTTCTCAGGACCAATGCAATCCTGTTGCTGCCTAAATGTAAACAAACTGAAACACAGCAGCAACATCTGAATTTACAGAATGAGAACTTTAAGTTAAGTAAATTGGGAACTGATTTTTCACACCATGAGTTTCTAATTTTTGTGGAATAGGAACATTGCTCAAATACTTTAGGCATGCATAGAAATTTTATAGCCTTGGGAAAGAATCCTTCCACATAAAATTGTATGACAAATGTTTTCTTTACATTAAATATTAAACCTATTAATTGTTGTAATTACATTAGTTTTGTGAGTTTACCTGTTGGTGATCCTGAGCTTCACAAATTAGTGCATAATCTTATGAGTAACTGAATAATCTTTATTGTATAGAATATTAATCATAAGACTTTTTAATAAGCTCTCTTAGGAGAGTAATAGTATAATTTTATTTTCAAGTAGCTTTGAAGAAATATGCCATATGATAAATAAAAAGTACACGTAGTCTTTAAAAGTATTTCCTGAGTTGCATCTGCATCAGAGAGCTATATATCTAGCTTAGAAATAGAAATATAAAAGCCATTAAATAATGTGTACCCTTCCAAAACTACCTCCAACCTCACTCCCAAGTCAAGAATCATCTTTAACAGTTTGATCCCAGTAATTAAGTGATAATTTGATTTAGTTTTATTCTTAATTTTATTTACAATATGGATTAGGTTCATAATTTTAAAAATACTCTTCAAATACTTTTTTGCTTTTTTTTTTCTTCTGAGATAGGGTTTCTCTGTGTAGACCTGGCTGTCCTGGAACTCCCTTTGTAGATCAGATTGCCTCCAATGCAGAGATCCACCTGACTCTACCTCCATTGTGCTGGGATTGAAGGTGTACACCACCATACCCGGCTCATTAGTTTTTTTTTTCTTTTTTTTTTTTTTGAGAACAATATCTCCCTGTGTCACAGCTTCCACTATAAAGCAAAATAAAGGGAATGGAGAGATTGTTCAGTGGTTTAGAGTGCTTGCTGTTCTCCCGGAGGAACCCAGATTTGATTCTTGCATCCATATTGTAGCTCACAATTATTTGTAACTTCAACTTTTGGGGATTCCACACCATCCTCTGGCCTCCCAGGGCACCAGGCATGCATACAATGCACAGCCATACATATAGGCAAACACTTAGACATATAAAATAATAATGAAATTAAATTAATTAAAAATGCTAGAAGGGGAGTATTGTAGGTTAGAAAAGAGAATATGCTTAAAGTGCATTATATCCTTGTATGAAAGCATATATAACTCTATATGACAAAATAAAATATCTAAACAAATAATAAAAAACACTCAGAGGTGTGGATGGTAGGTCTTCTTGATAGATTATGTGGTACTGGGAACCAGGAATCCAATACTCTGCATTTTGTCAAAGCCCTTATGTAACACATGGATTGTTAAAGTTAATAAGGACTGAGTTACATTTGATAAATGAAGGGTAAAAGGAACAAATAACATTCAACATTCTAAAGCAACACAAAAAAAATAAACAAAACTAAAAGCAAACCAGCACAAAGCCATATGCCATTTTGTTAAAGGTTTTGGCATTTATCAGCATGCTACCTACTGGGAGTCTAATGGCATCTGGAGACATTTTGGAAAAACAGAGTATATTGGCTACTTTTCTCTTGGTGTGATAAAATATCATGATCAAAACCAACTTTGAGAAGAAAGAGTTTATTTTGGCTTGTTCCAGAGCGCTAGATCTCTATTACAGCAGGGATGAATGACAGTGAAGGAGCAAGCAGGAAGCAGGACCAGGCTCCTCAAAGCCCACCCAGTGATGTACTTCTTTGGGTAAGGCTGCACCTTCTAAAGTCTCCATACCCTGTCGCAAACACCAACAACTGGTGTTCAGGTATATGAGCCTATGGAGAATACCACAATACAGAGATATTTTTTTAATAAGTAAAATAATTAGTTAACATTTATTAGCAAAACTGGCCTCATGTTTAAAATGAGCATCAGTCTATCCTATTTCTTAATTTCCCCCTTGAGGTACAAACTGTTACAGCAGAGGTGGAGACACAGTGCGTTCTAGGGTGACAAACTCAAATGGGAATATATATGAATTCCTCAATATATCTTACACGTCTCACCTCAATCATCTTTGAGGTTGTGGAGCATAAACATGTTGCTTTTAGTGCTTGGGAAAATTATGATGGTAATGATAATTGTCACTTGACTGAATCGTGATGGCACCACTCCCTGGCTGGCCTCCTGGGCTGTATAGGGAATGCAGGCTCAGGTGGGCTAGAGGAGGGAAGTCCTGGAAATACTGAAGACCCTTGGCATTATGCTCCACCCGGGGGTATCATTTAACATCTTTGTAAGTGGATTGTGGAGCAGCACTGAGCTGGCATCTCAGTGTGCCTCTGCCTTGTTCCAGTTGAGAAAAGACAACCGACTTAGTTCTTCCGAGTCTGCATTTCTTCATCCATTATCAACAGTGCAAGATAGGGAGGTTCTGAAAATTCATGTGTACAGTCTGTGGAAGCCCAGAGTGTGTTCCTGAGACGTAGCACCTGCTCAACCAACGACCTTTCATTCTTCCTAAATACGCGTGCCAGGTCTTTTCATAATCTTGATTTTAGAAATGTCTTATGAGCTGAAAGAAACACAA